CAGTGCTGGTGGGACTGGGACACAGCTGAGGGGTTAATCCTGTGTGATAAACTCTGTTTGCCCAGAACCAGGCTGGCTCAGACCTTCCCAGCAGCAGTGGCACCTTTGGAACAGGGACCCTTCAGGAGGGCAAGGCAGGAACAGGGGTGGGGCTGCACTTCCAGGAGGGAAGCAGGGCAGGAAACAGCCTCAGCCCTGCTGATCCCGGGGCCGGGCTGCGTTAGGCTGGGCAGGGGGAGACGCTGGGCTGTTCCTGGCGAGGGCAGGGGTGGGGACAGGGGCTCACATGTAGCGCAGCTCCGACTCCCTGCGCACCAGGATCTCCCGGATCCGCTCGATCCTGAACAGCTCTCCCTCGATGTCGTCGATGGTGGTGGTGGAGTCGGCCATGGACACGATCTCATCCTCTGGAAAAGGAACGGGAGCCACGTTAGGGACCTCAGGGCAGCCCTGGGAACTGCAGCAGCCCCTGCTCCCAATCCCTTGTGCCCGGCTCTGTGCCTGGAGAAGCCCCACATTCCCAGGGGTGCCCACGCTCTGAACAGTGGGAGACCAGTGGGAGCTGGAAACTGCTGAAAGCAAGGACAGGAACGTCCTTTTTCTTTTCCAAAGGCAGGGAAGACTCCAGCACGTCCAGCACAGAGACCTGAGCCTGCCCAGTTCCCTCTTCCTGCATGGCCAGGAGCAAATCCCGGGCACACAAAGGCCGGAGCTCAGAAGTCACAGGGGTGAAATTCCTTCTGCTGCTCCCCTTCCATCACAGCCCGGATGAACCCCCCATCCTTCCCAGCTGACTGCAGGAGGAGCCCCCAGTAGGGCAGAACCCCCAGCAGGGCAGTGCAGCAGTGCTGAGCATCACATTCCCCTGCCACCTGGGGAAACTGAGGCAGGGAAATGGGGGCACTTGCTCAAGGTGAGAGGCAGGAGCTTCACAGCAAAATGTGGGCTAAAGGGGCTGTAATTTGTGTTTTAGAGGGATGGGCAGGATGAAAGCCCATCCACCCCCATCCAGGCTCTGACCACCAGCTCTGCCTCCCCCTCCATGACTCACACTCTGGATTTCCACTCGTTTGCTCCGCTCTGTCCCATGGATTCACTCATGCATCCCACAGTGACTCCCAGCCTTTTTTATGGGAACAGCTGAGGATTTGCTCCAGGCCAGCTCCCAGCCCAGTCTGGCTCTGAGACACAAGGCTGAGCCTGTTATCAGTGCCAGGCAGCAGAATCTTCATCACATCCCAGCTCATCCAGCTCTGGGGATGTGCTGGGGCCAGGGGTCTGCAGCAGAGCCAGGCTGTGGGAAAACATCCCAAAAYCTTCCAAATACCACACCAGGGGCAAAGCCTGCTTCCTCTGAACCTTCACAGGACACAGCTCCCCTCAGAGCATTCCCCTTCCCGCAGCCCCGGGGTTCTCCCTGTGCAGGGAAGGGGAAAGCACAGCCATGGAGCTGCTCCAGGAGYAGGATTTTCCAGGCAGAGATGTTGTGGAACTGCAGAGTGCCAGGTCTGGGCATTCCAAATGGGATCCAGGCCAGTGCTGAGGGTTACAGGGCAGGAAGAGGTAYACTGAGGCACAAACACTGCACTCCCTGTCCTCTCCCATCACATAACACTGCTCGGGAAAGCACTCCCAGAGCAGGGYGCATTTCCAGGACTTCCAGCAGGGAAAGTTTATTGTGAAAATACAATGATTCGGATCCGTGTGAGTGGTTTGGAGAAGAGTTCTTTGCTGTTTCTGGCTTGGWAACTCTGAGGATTTCTTGGAGATTGTCTCCCCCTCCCTCAGGCACGCTGATGCCAGGATGTGACTCTGCACCCATTCCTGGGTCAGAGCTGCCAGGATGCTCCCAGAGCCAGAGCCTGCCCAGGACAGACATGGCCCAGGCTCGGGCAGGGGGTGAGGCTGGAGGCACTGCCCACCAGCAGCTCTCGCCCCAGGCTCGACACACACTCCTTTCCTTGTCCCCAGATGGGGTTGCCAAGGGACCGGCCTATGGCTGCTACAGCATCAGGATGCGGTTGCTAAGGGACCAGAGTGTGGTTGCCAGGGGACCAGGATGCCGAGGTCCCTCATCCCGAGCATCCTGGGGCTCTGCCACCTCAAAGCTCCTGTGGCCTGGGATATTTGGCTGCACCTGAGCAGCTGGGGACGGCCCCAGGCACCCGTGCCAGATGCTGGCAGATGTGCAGGTCCCAGCACAGCTGGAGAGGCAGGAGACACAGCTGGAGGG